GTTTCCTGAATACATCATTTGGTTCATTAGAAAATATCTCTTACTTTTCTGAGAAAATATCCTTGCAGAGAGAAGTCTTTTTAAAACTCTGAAACACAAATCGTTCGAAATAAATGTTTCGTAAGTATCATCAAAGCTTTTAGTACCTGACGAATTGTGGTAGACTTTGAAATGTGCTTTTTGGACATTCTCCAACATGCATGAATATTTTTCTCCATTTTCTTAATGCTTTCTTTCGGAAAGTTGCAGCTTTCTTCGAGTTTTCAACAACGGAAGCCAAATAATATCACCATAGATCCTGTTCATTTAGATGTTGTCAGTCATCCACTATATTATTACTTTTCTCTACTCCTCTGCAGTGAGAGGACGAATGAAAAATTAGAGTAAAGAATTCTTTCACTTATATTAACTGCCTACATCATACTTATGTCACTCAACATAAGAAACACTTTTCTAATTAAGGATTCACGCTTGTGCACCAGTTCGTAGACAAATAAATAAATAGCTTAGAATAGCATGTAAAGAAAGAAAACGTTGAAATCCTGCTTTAATAGTAATCATTCGCTTCGGTATTCTGTTCAGAATGATAAGTGAAGGTAAATGTAATCCCTATTCATTGTCGTTTACAATCACAAACACTACATCAGTTGAAAATATAATCTTATTTAGATAGAAATTTTCTTTTTTTTTGTAATGATGGTAATAATAATGGTTGGTTTCAAAAATACATTGTTCGTTCTTTTTTTTCATTGAATAGGTTAATTATTTTTTTTGTTTTTTTAATCTTAATATTTTTCTTGTATCAATTCTTATTAATTTTTATCATGCCTTTACTCTCAAACGGGCATGCATCCTCGTTTCTGACAAGCTTTTTCATACCATCATATTTTCATCATATTAAAACCAGCATGTTACAATAGACCCAGCGGGATTCTTCATACATTTAGTATTCTCTTCTTCGTTCTTTTTTTTTTCATCCTTTTTGTAGGCCATTTACATTCTATTTGTGTTTGTTGATGAAAAATATTGTCTCGCAATGCTGTATGTGAAACATCGTATTTTCTTCGTTCTGCATTTTTATTCTGCTTTTTCTCGTCGCACAATCGCCAGTAGACTCAAATGATAGAATGCACCAAGTTGGTAAAAGAAAAAACATTTTTATTTATTTATCCGGGAAGTTAATTGAAAAAAAAAAATTCGATCGCAATATTTTTTCAATTTATCAGTATCAGTTCCCTGAATACCATGTAAAACACTTGTTTACTACAATTGCAACGCCATGACTTCGATGTGTTACCTAGCATCTGAAGATGGCAATAAAAATATAATGATTACATGATTATTAATCAGACACAAAAAAAGTGGATGAATACATCAAGAACTACAATCCGTTGCTATGACGAATACGTCGTACAATTATAACATTTGAACTGAAAATAATTGAAATATTCTTTATCCTCTATTTTAATGACACATGATTCAACGATGTAGTCATTGAAGTAGTAGCTGTCTGTTCTTGGCCCAAGATTCGAACTCAATACTCTCATCAACAAGAATATAGGGTATTCATTCGAACATCATACAATTTGAGGCACCCTACTGCTGAAAAAAATGTAAAATCATCATTTTTTTTGACACTTTGAAACAGTGAATTAATATATAAATTATGTTACATGAAAATTTATTTTTATTAAAATACGTAGATGAATACATTACTAGTCTACTATATAACAATAATCCTTGAATATATGTTTATAAACACTAAAAAAATATTCGTGTATTTTTTTTTCTAGATTAATACACATTTTAGCGACATAATTTATGGATAAAAACCAAGCAACCGGTAATGTTCATACAGAAAAAGTAACTGCATGTTCGACTAGTGCAGATACATCCAAGGATATGAAAGAAAGTGCTGATGGTGAGTAATAAAGAGTTATAAATATTATTCAAATGATAGTGATAATATCCACGAATTTCAGTGTATATAAATGAATATTATTGCTAGTACACCGTATGATTGATAAATGTTTCCGAAAAAAAAAAATTGAATATTTTCATTCAGAGAGTAAAGCAAAATTCTACGGCAAAAAAAGCATAAATATCTCTTGAACAGTTTGATCGACTTATATTAGTTTATGAGAATACCATTATAAGTTTATTCAAGTTTTGTAAAACATATATTCTAGAAATTTTTCTTGTTTTTCAACGTTAGAATCAAAATCATCTCATCAATAATCAAATCTCAGTTGTGTAAAGAAACACAAACTGAAGATTACATTTTTTTAAATATTTTACAATATCTTTATGATATTGACATTGTGACAGACTAATCATAGTCTGGACGGGTAACTGTATTGAAAGAATAAAAAACTCAGCAAAGTTCATATTGTTTATGAAAACTATCGATATCAAGTGCTCTGGATATTAGAACATTTCGTTCACTAGTATATTGAATTTTTAGTGCCGCTAAAATATATTGAATAATATGTAGATTCTGTACTTTAAAATGAGGAGATACAAAGGTTTCTTCGCAAACGTTATTCCTGACATATAATTCGAAGATAGGATTCACTTCAATTAACTTTACATTCAGTAGGCTTAGCCTAATTTGTATATTTTCTCTCGGATCACATAACAGACGACATTTTCAATTAGTCTAGTAAAAATAAAGTTTAATTTCTCCAATAGCACTCTTCACACTTGCGAGTAGCCCTCAAAAACAATGTATCAAGGTTTTCATCCAAAAAATCATACATAACAAAAAGAAAATGAAGGCAATTAGCCATACAATAAAATACACTATTCCATATGCCAATTATGTGGTGAAAGCCTTGCGCTCCCCTATGGATTTCTTATTAAAATATGAATTTATTCGAGTTTAAAATAGAAGAGAAAAAGACATTTCTACGCCACATCTCTATCAGAAAAGTTATTGTACTATAGATCGTAAACAGCGAAAAAGTGGCAATGTACGATAGAACTCGAATTTTTCTTAGACATTTCAGTATGTGTACTTAAGTAATGGTGACTGCATCAACTCATAAAATGGTTCCGACACTATTACGAAAATTTACCAAGCATTTCATGTTATTGCTCGGATATTCGTTTTTAAACATTAGTTTTTGCTGAAATGTTTAGTTCACTTGTAATATCGAATTCTGTCTGATAACCTGCGTTTTCAAGCTTTATAAATCTTATGAATAAATTAGGTTTAATCGCGCTCAATTTTTTTCTAATTACTTTCGCATAGAGAGCTTACTCATGTTAAAATTGATGAATGGTGAAATACCTGTCAAGATGCTATAGAGATATCCTAAATGCCCAGTATTTTTTTGAGTTTCATTAGATTATGCATAAAATGAGGTCTTTTCATGAATGTTAATTTAGGCATCGAGCTGCAAGTCATTTTTCAGACATTACATTGTGAATTTATTTATTAATTTCTACTTCACATTACTTGACACTATTATGTTCATGTCATCGAGCTGTAATATTCTCTTCATCAATATCATTGTAGTTTCTGTTAACAAATAACTATCTCTGCTTTTCTATTGTTATGCTAATGGATACCATGCCATTGTGATAGTTTTTAAAGATCTCTTGAAAATCTATTTATTGTCTAAAAAACTTTAAGACAATGACATATTGAAAAGTTAATAGCGATCTAATTTACACACGAAATCCTATGTTTTTCTATCGTATCTGCTTGCTGATGTCAAAGCTTCGCACCGTGGAATGATTATTGAACATTTCTATTTAAAATGAAATCGTTAAGAAATACTATTTTGAACTATTACTACTGACTTCGACAAAGAAATATTTTATTAGTTAGAAGATGTTATCTTGAAATCTTAAAATAATCTGAAATGTAGCTTTCTAGAATTTTTAATACATGTAATAATTGAGGTGTAAAGCTAGTAAGATCGTTTAATTCTCAATCATTCTGGTTGAATTGGGTTTCTAATATATAACAACTATTTGCATTGAGAACTCTATAAATCAAGAAACTAATTTTATGATATGAGCAGAATATAATTAATTATTTTTTTTGATAAGTTTATTGATATTGTAAAGTTCATCAGGTTTTGTTCATAGAGACAAAAACCTATAGCTAAGTTACATAATGATATGTTGTTTGAGTCGCAAGATCATGCTTCTATTGAGTATTTGACGTACAACGAGAAGAGCTATTCTACATCATAAATATTCTTTAATTAGATTAATCACGAATTGTTTGATATCATTGATCTTTACTTTTCAAACACTATTAATCGTAAAGATGTCGAATTTATTCTTCTAAGAATCATTGTAGATGAGATGTCAGGATGATATTCTCGACTCTGAATGTATTGCTCTGTAAAAGTCAATTGTGCACATTCAAAACAGTTTCAATCAAAAATTTTCATATTGAGAATAAATTCATAGCCTCTGGTATCACTGAGAACAATACTCCCATCCATTGAAATAGAGTAAAAGTACACATCTGTTTCTCGTAAGATATTTGTGAACCTTCTGTTGAGCATTTTTGTAGTAGTTCTATTAAATAGACTAATTTGCGAGAAATACAACGCTGTTACTAATTGAATAGATTGATTGAAATCAAACATGTGGTTTTCGCACTATTCTTGTGCGATAATTAAGACGAGAAAGACCAATGTTGCTTTTTTATTGAAGTTTGATCTTGGACATGAAAGACTTTCACAACAAAGTATTCAAAGTAATCCCCTATGAAATCAAAATATGGAATATGATGCAATAGCTGTCATTGGATGCTAAGATTCTTTATATTGGCTGCAATCTGTAACAGAATCAAATGAGCACTATATTAAGATATCTGTTGCAATGTGTGAGAATGGCGAAAAAATTTATTTTTCTTGCTATATAATTTAACACTCATTATTAATTGTATTTCAAAAAATCTTCTGAATCTTGAAAAATAGATAACATAATATCTATCGAATAAACGATATTTCTTCTGTGTAGTACTTACATTTCCGATGGCACGTACGTTACCTTTACGTCCACCACCGGATTATGCAAAATTACGCAAAGAAAACCCCATTTCGAAGGCTAAAATGTGGGATGGTAATCTTGTTTGGTTGGTTACTCGTCATGGTGATGTTTCAAAAGTTCTGACCGATCCACATTTCAGCAAAGTACGTACTCATCCTGGCTTTCCTGAAACAGGACCAGGAGGCAAAGCTGCAGCACGTGCTGGTAAACCGACTTTTGTTGATATGGATCCTCCTGAGCATACACGTCATCGAGGAATGGTCGAACAAGATTTTACAAAAGAAAAAGCAGAAGAAATGCGACCCAAAATTCAACAGATTGTTGATAAACTTCTTGATGAAATGCTTACAAAAGCACAACCAGTCGACCTGTTAGCTTCATTTGCTTTACCGGTACCAACATTAGTTATCTACCACATATTAGGTGTTCCATACGAAGATCATGACTTTTTGGATAAATGTAATGCTATTCGTACCAATGGTAGTGCAACATCTGCTGAATCTGCTCAAGCAAGCAAGGATCTTATGGATTATCTTGCACGTTTAGTAAGTTATTATTTTTTTAGAAAATATATTTTAATATGTCACTTTTTTCAAAATTGAAACCAAAATGAAATCGACTCATTTAGAACTTTGATACAATAAATCTCTTCATTGATGCTTGCTGAATATTTTTAGTAGAACTTAGGATAAAAAGCAATGATACATCAAATGAAAACTGAAAATTAAAATGCGTTCTAGTTAAGAGGATTTTATTCTAACAATACAGTATTTTCGTCATATTGCCGATGCGAAGTAGTCGAAGTGCGATAATGGTTACTTTAATTTTTGTGTGATGATCGAATGATTGTTCTTACACAGGCATGTCACCAGGTATTCAATGGTGTTTGAGTATTTGGAATCGTTTACTTCAGAACAAAAAGTTAATTCTAAATCCTAAAAGTAGTCATTAGGATTTGCTTTTTTTTCATCTTTCAATTGACTAAACTATTATATCGTTTTGGAAATGATATTCTGATTGCTCATAGCAACTTGTGGAATAGTTCTAGATTTTTTTTATTTAGAAATAGGTTTGTATAAAAAAACCAGCACTTCACGTTTTTTCAGTAGACTTTCTTGTGTGAGTCTTTTTGAACTAACACTACTTTGAATTTCATATAAGCACGAATACAATGTAGTACACATTAAGACATCAGTAAAGTTCATCAGATAAGGATTCACTTATCTCTAAACAAGAAAACTTGGGAATAGATCTTGTATGTAATGATTTTAGAATAGCTTGCAAATTACTATCCATTAAAACTTCAAAATATAAATCCAAAAAGGCACAAAGTGAATTTTAGAACTCTTTAAGAAGATCTGTAAGTGAGAAAATACGGAAAACCTTCAACGTAACCCTTATATGATTACAATGAGTAATATCATCGAATCAAAATAGAAGTAATTTTTGAGTAAAAAAATGTGTCAAGTATAATCGTTGGATTTGATGACAAGAATGTATATTTTACTTCATACACAAGATTCACTATTATCGAATTTTTTTCCTGAAGTATTCAATATGTCATATCTTTCTTTATCTTCATGTTTTCTTGTTAAGGTCGACAAGAAAACACAAAATCCAACAAATGATATTATCAGTCGTCTGGCAATTGAGCAAGTTCAAACAGGCAAATTAACTCATGATGAACTGGTAGCAATGTCATTTCTACTTCTGGTTGCTGGTAATGCGACAACAGCAAATATGATTGCGCTTGGTACACTGACACTTCTTCAACATCCAGATCAACTAGCTGAACTTCGACGAGATCCATCTCTAATAAAAAATGCTGTCGAAGAAATTCTACGTTATTTGACAGGTTCACAATTTGCTACTCGTCGCTTGGCTCTTGAAGATGTTGAAGTCGGTGGTCAAATAATCAAGAAGGGTGAAGGTGTTTGGGCATTGAATGCATCAGCCAATGAAGATGAGAATGTTTTCCCAAATGCAACACGGTTTGATATTCATCGTCAACCAAATCCTCATCTTGCTTTTGGTGATGGTATTCATGTGTGCATAGCACAAGATTTAGCACGAGTCGAAATACAAATTGCAATCAATACTCTTATTCATCGTTTACCCAATCTTCAATTGGCTGTTCCGGCAGCCGAATTACAATATGTCACAATTCCAAAACGTGATTTTGGCGTTGCTGCATTGCCTGTCAAATGGTAAGAAAATCAAAAATCTTTACACTGTTCTACATGATATTTCGTATTGGTTCTGAATTAGATTGTTGTTTTATTATTTTCTGTCTGATCGATATTGTGTCTTCTATAAAATGTGATACATATCGATACATTCTATTCAATATTGAATGCAGACAAAGCACTGTTTCGAAATCAATCTACTGAAATTAAGAGAGGGGCTAGTATTAAAATCACAACGTGGCTACTGAAGCTTCTCAATTGACAAAAAATGTCAAAATAGTAATTAACAAATCATAAAATTCCTAGAACAACATTCTATATAAATGATGTATTAACTTTTCGACTATATAATCGTTACGAACTATCAAATTAGTTATGGATTTCTTTAGAATATACGAGCTATATCTTGCGCACATTGTTTATTTAATATTTTCGCTCATAAGAAAACTTGAGTTTCACAAAACTCATTTTAAAAAGCTTCGAAGGTGATTTCTACAAGATCAAAACGTGAAATGTGATAGATGCAAATTAATTATGTATAAGTAGTATTTATATTGACCACAGTTCGTGACAAAGTCGACAAGAAAGCATGCCGAAATGTCTATTATGTGTCCATGGATTAGGTTGCTATGAGAGACTGGCTATATCGCTCGACATGAACTCGTATGATACTTTGTTGAAACTCCGTTAGTGCTATTCATGAAGTAACTCTGAGAAAATCACTAATAGCTGTTTGTCTCAGATCAATCTTCCGATAGTATGTTGACTATGTTGTCATATACACTTACTCTTGTGAGCATTATATAGTCTATTAGTGTTCATGGGAAGCTTAACACATTTAGCGCAGATAGTCTGTGCCAGGACGTCCTTCTGTTCAGAGTTACAGCTACTGTTAGTTGTAAGAAAAATGTCAAGGTATTGCATCTACCGCTGGACAATAACCCATACTACAAGGTAGTCGAAAAACAAGAGTATTCTTTCTTTCTTCTTGTTTTCATGAAACATGCTAAAGTTTTACTTTTCTCGCTATATATTTTAACATTGATTAAAAATAGGGTTTCACGTTAGAAAACATTTTTTTTTAAAATTTATCTAATAAATATTTATACTATCTAAACTTGCTTGATCATCCAGCAAATGTAAACTGACTTGAATGATCCGTTTGCAAGATCATTAGCATATTTAAGATAAGTATCGCGTTTAAACGATAGATAATCTAACAAGAATAAAGAATCTATTTCCAATTTTGCTTCTTTTAGGTAACACAACGTATCAACAACAGGCAAATTCAATCTCAATCATAAAGACATTTGATGAATACAAGCAGAAGCATTTTATTTTATTCATATATTTAACATTTTAGTATTGAAAGTAGTTTTTCCTCATTTTTCTCACAATAAACATATATCTTAGTTAGATCAATACTTGATTGATTCAATAATAAAATGAATCGAAGAGTATTTTATTAGACGAATCCGAATAGATAGTGATGTTATTGAATAAATTGTAGCATCTGTATCTTCTTACTTCTTCAGAAACAAATGTTTAGTTTCAAAACGATATTATAATTTAAACTAATGAGAAAATAAAGAACTCATTCATTCTATTGAAAGATGTAGTTGAAAGGAAAACAATATTTTCCTTATCAAAGATCCTTGATGATTCAAGTAACTTCGACCGATACAATATACACTACATGGTCTTTGGGTGTTGTGTAACGTTGTGTTTGACGAACTGACGTGGATATTAAATATAAGTTATCCATGGATAATAGTCTATTTTCCATACTGATATTGAAAGATTAAGCATTGAAATAATAATGATGATGTTCATGGACATCTTCATATACTTGGTGATATTGAGACTTGTAGAACACAACATCTATCTAAACATTACTAAAGATAATTCTTTATGCATTTCTATCAGTTTATCTAATAAGAAGATTTGTTTTACTGTTGTCGACGTTCCGAAACGACTTTTGTACTACTAAACAATATCATCTAGTAATATTACAATAACTATTGAACTGGATTATGTGCTATGCAACAACCAAGCAACATTAACATGAGTATCGCTACACATAAATAAAAATTCAACATTGCGCCGATAGATGAATATGTCACATTCAAGAATCAAATAGTTAAGTTTCGTTATACAGCACTCTATATATGTGAACCAAATAATTTGCAATCCTTTGGAAAATATTATAAACATTAGTTGCTAATGAGTAGAGTAACAGTGAGTGCTGTTTGTAACCTGTTCCACAGCATCTAGTTAATTCACGGCTCTTCAGTTTACCTACCATTGTTGAAATTTTCAACTTACTATATGATAAAGCTCGTTATTTCTGAAAGATTATTGCTTGAATTGCATTACAACTATTAATAATCAATGACTAATACTTTTTACTATTTTGTATGAATATCATAGATCGAAGCATCGTATGCCAAAATTTCTTCAATTGAAAGTTTCAAACTCGATATTCTTTTTTTGTATAACTACAACTATGTTTTTCCGGTGGATGAGTGTCGAACTGTGTGACCATAATTGTTGGTTCTTTGTATTTTTAAGAGGGTGATATCTATTGGTTCGTGTTAGAGTTCGACCATTTTTCCTGAATAAAGCTCTTGTTTCAAGAATTTTTGTCATTTTTTCCACAAACATAATGATGGACTGCTAATGATTCATGTCAGTGATTATGATAACATGTACACAATATTCAACTTTGATCATCATAGCTCATGTTGTTTTAGAAGGCTCTAAGTGTATTTAAATATTCCTTTGCATTCACTTTTTTTTGCTTTATCGTTTAGAGCATGGATATCGAAATTTTTCGTAACCTTTGACTTATAAGCTTGCAGTGAATCACAAATAAAAAGATGAGATGCTGACTGATAGTATATTGAAGAATAGAGCGATATTTATCGAAGGATTATTTTAACCTTGTGTTAAATCGATGCATTGATATGTATTATACCGGCATTAATGACAGAGTGAACAATCTCCATAGAATTCATGTGGCAGACACTAAGAAAAACAGAATACTTTGAAAAATGTGCTTTCAACAACAAACACAACGACAAAATTATTTAATTACTATTTCAAATCTCTAGCATGTCCTTCTAGGAAATTGAATTAAATCCATGACTTGATTTGTATTGTATCAAATGAAATCGTTATGAATTATCAAATATACGATGTGATGCAGTTCTACTAATTTCTTTCAAAAAATAGTCCAATATTTCCAATGAGTTTATGGTATTAGAAATGCGACAGAAGTCGGTTTGCTCACTTGAGCAGACGAATCTGTGAGTGTCAACATCCCTGTAGTCGTATCGATCGAAAATACAACCAGATTATTTGAATCTTGATTAGCTACAATTAGATGCGCTCCATCTGGAAGTATATTAAAGTGTCGAGGTGTGCGCCCTTGTACATGTACATGTTGAATAGTATTTAAGTATCCCGTGGCATTATCAATGGCAAAAACAACTATAGAGTCATGACCACGATTTGATGCATAAAGAAATTTATTCGATACAGGATGAACCAGAAGTTCAGCAGCATAGTTTATCGATGTAAAATTCTGCGGTAATGTTGAAATTGTTTGAATAGTCCTCAGAATTGGATAATAGGTGAAAACGGTGATCGATGATGATAATTCATTTATCACATAAACATACTTTTGATTATTATTGAATATTAAATGTCTAGGACCGTCGCCTGGTTGTCTTGATTTTGAAATGTATTGCTTCTTTAGTGTTCCATTAGTAGATATAAATCGATACACATACAACTCATCTGATCCTAAATCAGCACTTATAGCATATTCCTCTTTCTTATCTAACAAAATACAATGAGGATGAGATGATGTTTGGCTCTCAGGATCAATGGAGGAGCCGTTTTGTTGATAAACTCCAGTTGAGTCTTGAATACGGCCATAGTTAGTGTCGAAAGGTAATACAGCTACAGTACCAGAAATATAATTGGCAACAAAAATATAATGACCTAGGGCATCCGATGAAAGATAAATTGGATAACTTCCACCAGAAGATTGTTGATTGATGAAAATCAATTCAGCTGTTTGTATTGAATTGATTTTGAAAGCATTGACTTGTCCTTTTTCTACTTCGTTAACAGACAAAATGTATCTTCTTGATGGATGCATTAGTACATAAGTCGGATTCTGTGTCACCGCAACAAGCCCCAATGGTTTTAGCGATGAATCTTTACTATCAAATGCAAAAGCATAAATACCTTTGCTATCATTTTCACTTTTCCCAGTGTATGTTCCGACATATACCAAAATAGGTGAAGTTCCTGCAGGCTGTGCCAAAGTCCGAGCGTTGAATAAACCTAGTACTGAAAAAAAATTTCTCTTAGAAGCTTTGAAAATTTGATGCAAATGTGAGGTTTTACTTGCAAGAATCGATGTGAAAAGCATCAGAAACATTGATCAGAACGTGGTATACGTTAAATGATCACTGTTAGTATACACGCATAAATGTTGTGCTGTAAATATCACAACTAATACTTTTTAAGCCGTCGAACTACATTAAGCAAAATATTTGTAAGAAGGCCATCTTCTATCTTTTGTTTTTCATTGAAATACATTTTTATCACAAGCTACATCATTCTTCAAGATCAAGTACGAATTAGACTCGCTCATTATTAAAGACAAATAATTGGCCATAGTCGTTGATATTGTCTGTCAATGTCAGAAAACAATAAGAGAAAAAAATACGACAAATAATACTGTTATAATCAGATACTGTTGGAGAGTAAAGAATATTGTGATTCAGAACTATGGCTTTATTATTAAAAGAAGTGCTTAAATCTGTACTTGAAAACTATTCAAAACATAATTTTTATTTGCAAGTGACAAGAAAATTTATCATTGAAAAGACTACTAATCAAATTAATCATACCGATGTACTAGTACACCATGTACAAGTTTTTTTTATAACTTGCTTTCCAACTTGTTTGGCTAAATATGTTTGATTAATTGAAAAGAAATTGTCCATCTAGAAGCTATGTATGAATTGAAAATATTACGAACAATATCGGCAAAGTCCGCACTATCATATATATTGATTTAAACTTCATTTGGTCTTCAATCAGCAACATTCGTGTAAATACTAAAATAAAATAAGAGTAAAGTGTACGTATTATGATAGAGCATATTTCGAGTAGGTTTAGAACAAAATCAACCAAACAGTAATCCTGTATGGAAAGTTTGTTGGCACAACTACCAGTAACCTGTGACATCAATAAGAATCGATGACATACCATGCTAGAAGAGCGATCATAAGATAATTGTTTTTAAAGAACTATCTGTTTTTTACTGCTTGTCTACTGTATCGTTTAGTCTGCATTGGTATTATTGTTTTCTGCATTTGTGCATCTTGCAATTTGCAAGCAGACATAAGACTTCTTTTTTTTTTCATTATGAACTCTAGGTACAGTGTCATCCGATAGTAAGATTTCATTTTACTTTTACAATGAATATCTGTCAAGAACGAATCATAAAATGATTACACATCAGTCGACATCATATTGATGTGAGAATCATACTAGTAAAATGCAACAGTGAATGTGTGAACATATAGAATTCGTTCATTTGTCCAGTGCTTGAACGGTGAAAATATCAATAACTTTTCAAAAGAGAAAAAAATTATATTTCTTCTCATAAAACTTGTTACGACCCAATAAATCACGCAGGAAACACACTTCTATGAGAATGTGATCTACTGTGTTCGAGCCTAATGCAGTAGAAAAAGCTATATAATATATATGGGAGAATTGCAAAATTATTGTACCGTTCCGTGAAAAAAAGGGCGAAAAAAAATTTTCGATTTTAACAACGGTGATTAGTGCATTCTACAGTACTACATGGGCTGTGAATATAGATAAAGTTTCCCGACTACCACTATTAAATTGCCCAAGATACGACGGTCTTTTAAAGAATACTATTAAAAAATTCAAGGTCCAGTTTCTTTGATAGTAAACACCTCAGTTAGATTTTTCGATAGCTTTTAGGTTTTTGAGTTGGGTCTTTTCTTTGTAATGATGATCTAACTTTGATCTAGAATTAGCGACTAAAATAACACGGTTTGCCTTAAATTTTACTTAGTTTTTTCACTTATACACTGATAAAAGTTGTAAACGTGCAGTTAATTACAGAATGTACATAATTAGTGACTTTTCTCTATAAATTTATTAACCTGTAAAACATAAGCTAGGATTAATTCACATGACTGTTGATAGATCCTTAAATATAGAAGTTAAGTGATATACTATGTATCTACTTTAGCTTTAGTTGTGAGGTAGTTATACCTATAATAATCTCGCGTGACATTTTTGCACTATTTTTCATCTGTTGTGGGAAAGACAAACTTTCTGATCCTGATATTACAACCAATTGTTGGCCACAATGAGTGGATAAAATGGTCAAAGTTTCATCGTAATCTGCCATAGTATAAGAAGGTTATGAAACAAACAAATTGAAAAATCTCGCGTGACATTTTGTGTGATAACTGAATTTTCAAATTTCATTTTATATTTTTTTTCAATAAGAAGCAGGACCATTCTCTCATCGTCTTTAGTGGTTTCATATAGCACCAACTACCTTTCATTTAACACAAACCCGATCAATTTCAGATGGGCCATTGCGTAGCAAAATGAATTTTAATCTCGCGTGACAGAAAATTGAGAGTTGTCTGTACACACGGTATTTCGATAAAACTGTAATAAAAACTACGTCAAAAGAACCAAAGGGTTTTATATCTGAGAAGTGTAGACTGTATATTATAAATATCACGAACTGTCGAAATTCAAATGACAAGTAACGAACTAGGTATACAACCTTTTGTCAAAAAGACGGCAGCAGAAATCGAACTTTTGAGCCTTGTCCAGCCAATATCTCAGGACTTATTTAAGATAACGTTGTCATTTTTTTGTGTGGTAGTGAGGACTTCTTAGTAGAATATATGGTAAAAAAAATCATAAGGATTGGTTGAGTAGAACTCGAGATATTGAAATTTTACCTTCAGGAATACAACGGTACAATAATTTTGCAATTCATCCATATATATACCTGCCTAAGTATATCACGGGAAAATACCATCTATGGTGGCTTTTGAATAAATAGATTTCCATTAGATTTCATAACTAGTTCTCACAATTTCGTCTAATCTAGTTTAGAGCTTTTCAATTCTTTAGGATAAAGACTACGTGGCACTTCCTCTTTGCTATGAATGATTTTGTCTGTGAGAAAAAAGTTTCTTTAAAATTATCATAATGAATGTCATATACATTCAGTGAAAGATATATTATGGATGTACGGTGCTGACGAAAATACCAAAAAACTCACACTAACGTCACCGATGGTAACATTTATTAAAGATCGATCACGTGATCGATATCAGTGCATTAGTGATTGTCTATATTGCAGTGTGTGTCAATGCTTCAATGAATACTTATATGAGAATTATCGAAGTTCCAATGAACGTCAGTGTCAGTGTAGTCACAATTCCAGTGAAGACTAATACTGATCTGATCTTTACTTAATAAATTTCATTGTCGTTGATTTACAAACTGAAACTTTACATACTTAAATAGTTTCTTCTTCAACGATAGTTGGCGCTGAATATAACACTTTTTCAGTAGACATTCACCTTGTCCAATAACAGCATTTATCTTATTTACGGCAAGTCACGTTGATTACTTTTGTTTTTTTTTCTTTCTTTTTCTACTACCTGTCGTTTAGGTGAAAACAAAATAACACCACATATGCAATGTAACATGTATCGAATTAGAAAAATATATTCTTCTGACTATGGTAAGGCATTCATTTGAAAGGAATAAACGGCGCAAATAAAATCGATTTGCAATCCACATAATCTTGCTCGATATTGCAAAAGTGATTTTTCTAGATGAATCAAATTACTTGTTTGGAGACATTGCCTGACGAGATAATTTTACAGACTTGCTCATATCTTCGTGGAATCGATGTTTTGTATTCCTTTTACAATCTCAATAGACGATTGAATATTACTATAACTGGTTATTGTCGTTATATCAATCTATTGGCAGTTACACATAATCAATTCGAACATGTGGCTTCGAAAATTTTACCCAATATTGGTTATGCTGCTTTCTCATTTGTATTACATGCCAGTTGGGAAACAATTATGTCAGAAAAAGCATTTCAAATTCTATTTTGTTCACCCATATCTCTTGTTTTTCCACATATTCAAAGAATAATCTTAAAATGGTTCTCTGGTGAGAGACTTTTTACCTTCATGGATAATTTAAATGATCTTTCACAATTGATTCAATTGGATATTCGAGGTCTCAGAGGTATTATTCCAAAGAAATTATTAACGAAGATTTTTTCTTTGAATCATTGCCAATTAAAATCAATCTCCTTCGATGACGATTCAGTTGATTTAGTCTTATTGGATGATGATGAACTCGATTGTTATCCAAACTTAGAAGAATTGAGAATTGATGCAAAATCATGTCGAATGTTGGAAATTCTTTTGAAAGCTTTACCGAATCTCCGTTGCTTTCATATTTCCATAAGTGAACATCTACTTTCTTCGACACCTAAGCAATTACTACTGGCATCAATTACATCTCATCATCTTGTCGATTTTGAATTGCGCTCAATCGCTGCATTTTGGACGTTGGATGAAATCATCGACCTATTACATCGAATGCCATCTTTGAAAAAATTAGCATTGGACATATGTACAAAAGATGACCGTTTTCTTAAAAGAGATCATCTCGACACTTGTTTACCAAAATCTCTTACGGAATTCTATTTTTTTATTCGTTATTACTATTTAGATAAAAATTTCCCAATAGATACTTTGCTTGATTCTTGGCCGACACACATCCCAGTAGCTTTTTGGGATGATCGGTCTAAATATTGTGCATCAATTCACAGTATTCCGTATGGCCTACGCTCTCTCATACTATCAGCAACATTAGGTAAACAGATGTCATCAGGTTGGAAATATATGAACTGTGTTGAAGATCTTTACATATACGATGCCAATTCTATCCAGGACATATTGGTTATTTTACAACACACTCATCGAATTCGAACGCTAACTATCGAAATGCAGCAGGAAGCTGAATATGGTAAGTATGATCATGTTACTTACGCAGACGGTTCATATAAAAGCATATGAAACTAGATAAAAATGATGTAGTTCTCACAATGACGAGAAACCGAAGAGAAAATAGTTCTTCAGTTCTTTGGAACCCATTTTTGGCAGCGCCTTTTTTCAAGTAGATGTTTGAAAGATATTGTTTAATAGAACGGATCGTAATATGTATGAAAACACGATTCATATATTTTTTACTTTGTCGAGCGCTGTACTCACAATATATCATATGCTATTAAATTCACTGCATCATCTACAAAAGAAGCATAAAAAAACCTGCCACAGACCATAGTCGATTAAGATTGTTCGCATGAAAAAATAAAAATACTGTTGTGTTTCAAAAATTAAAGAATTCTCTTTCAATAATCGAGAACTTTTCTACAAATTCACATTTATTAGAAAGTGATATATTTCGCCTTTCAAATAAAAAAAAACACGTTTTCATCTGGAATTGATTTTAAAATTGTATAATGAATTAATTTTCTTGATAATAGATACAAAGACGAAACATGTTCCAATACGGGTCCCTTGGCTAAAAAAACTCGATGTGTATGGAAAATGTGATCTTTTTTATTTACTCGATGCGGCACCGGCTCTCGATCGATTGCTGATTCAATATGACTGTCTCAAGCTTCAATTAAATGAAAAGCGTACATGCGATTTATTGCGACAACGAATCGTTCGTCTGCATATTTCAGATTGGATCGATTCGAAATCGGATCTCTTGGAACAACTGGCTTTCGTATTTACTTCACTTTATGAGCTAGTCTTAAGTATCAAAGACTCACAGATATTTGTGAATGAATTAGCATCGAGAATCCTGTTTCTCTGGCACAATCAATCATTATTTTCATTGTACATCAATGGTCAATTAGCAGATGATGCCAAAGAAAATCTTCGTCAATGGTTTATCGATCATACTAATTTAACTACAAATAGTTCATTTGCCGTAAAATATAATGAAAATTGGTTAGATTTATGGATCTAGAACTCATACCGATTGTTTCAATAATTATAACTGATTTTCGAGTTTTTGTAAATGACAAAAAATATCAATCATGCATGAAAACATTGTAAATGAAGAAAAGCACGTAGAAACTAGGAAATATAGATATCAAGGAAAATATTTAGTTTTATGACTCCATTTTCATCATATATTCTTAGAAAGTAAGCTCGAAACAGCAGTGAAAACATCTTTTTCGTTGAGTACTATCAGAATTTCTCATTGAAAAAATATTTATTATAGTTGATTCAGTATCAGTGAAATCATAGTTCATTTGTTTCGATTGTTCTAGGCATCAGAAACGGACTACATCGCCTGAAGAAATCCACTTTAATTAAAGCCAGTATTTATTGCACACTAATTCTTTTAGACGACGCTTCGATCAAGAATCTATTCTCAAGAAAGACTCTTAGAGATCTCTGCTTTCAATAAAACATGAATGGTCAAATTTTCTCACAACTTAGGCAGTCTTTCATATATACTTGGGTTGTACGATGAGTTTTTCAGGACTTCTCATGTCCATAGAAATTCAGTAAACAAAAAAATTCAAGAATTGTTGCACTCAATTGAGTCTCTACTATTTAATATTTGGCTAGATCTTCCAGAGAGTTTTAATACAAATAATATGCGTTACATTAGAAGAAAAATAATGGCAGTGAAAATTGAAAATTTCATAATATACGCTGCATCGTATCGATGGGATGCTGCACTTTTCCCTTAAGGTACCAATTTTTTTCGCTCAGTTTGTAGAGCTAATCAAAATACACGTACCTTCAAGTTTTCTTGGTCGGCTGACTTTTTGATAGAGTTACGGCTTTCACAAATTATACGACTTTTTGGACTCCTGGTCGGCATGAAATTTCAAAAAACAATTTGTATAAAAGTTTTCGACCTTACTTTTTTACATTTTGATAGAGGAGTAAAAACTGTGTATGCTCTGAAATTTTTACGATGATCGGACTAGTATTTGCAGAGAAAAGCTGATTTTTCAGAAAAATTCATTTTGCAGTATTCGAAAGTATTTTCATTAAAACCTTGCCTGAAACCTTGGAGCTACAGTCCATGATAATAGCAATCTGTTGTAGTCAATAGATGTGCCATCACATTTTGCATATACTAAGATGACATAGAACGCTTTTTAAACAAACAAAACATTCAAAAGAAAACGAACTGTTTGTAGGCACTGCCGCATAAAAAAAGTTCGAAAATGTCTTTTTTCTAACTAAGGTTCTTTTTCGCATTTCTTTTTCTTCTAAGTTAAATTAGTGGTGCAGTGTCCTTTCTTGTTTGATAGAGACTTTAATAAGCTACAAAACTATGCATAAACCTATGAGAAAATGCTATGTCATCATAAACTTCAGTAGATACATATCTTTGCACACAATGGAATGTTTTTATTAATAATATAACATCTTTTTTTCAAGGAAACATTCTCAAATATCCGCTTGCTTTTGAATCGATACTAGATGCATCACATCAATACCAATGAGTTGTGCATGCTCTAAAAGGATTTCGTGCTAATAGCTTTGGGTTGAGCAGATGCAGCACTTTTATTGTATATTGCAGCAGAAGGAATACCGACGACGTATAATTAATCAAGATGAAGATAAACACATAATTAGTATTTTTAAATAGCATTCTTTTTTTATTTTCATCAAAGTACTAAACTTTACTCTTCAATCTATTCGGTGATAACTCTGTGCCGTCCTTCTCACTCTTTTAGCTCCGATTAAGGAACATTGTTGGTGAATTTATTCAAATATATAGTTCATTTAGTAGGTGAGTCTTATTTATTCACTTGCACACTCTTTTGTATCAAGAATTCTCTCTATTTCGGAATCAAACATGTATATTAATCAAAATTAAAATAATGAGAAAAACATGAGACAGCCATGTGTGCATGCATAGACAGAGAATAGATAATAAATTGTTGAATTGTATTGAAATCGAAAATGAACAAAAGATGCTTGAAGCTACTGATGGTACCCATATCGTATCGGTACAACTTGGACAATCGATCTCAGCTAGAAAACGTTTCACAAACATAGTAAAAGTTACGGGATCTTGGATAAACGCAAAGTGACTCGTTCCTGGTAAGATTAATTGGCTAGCTTGTGGAATCCAACTAGTCATATCATCTGGTTGATTTCGAAAAATAGCTTCTTCATGGTCACCATCGACGATCCAAATCGACAACTTTTTATCAATTCTTGTAAAATCTTGTTGAGTCCAATTTGGAAATTTAGCCCACATTGATGTTAAATTATTGTATAAATTCGAATAGTTATTGACTGGATTCATTGCTTCGTACTCAGTTTTAGTACGTTCGAGGTAGGTCATGAAAACAGGTGAAGTGGAAACATCTTTTACACCCGTAGGACCATAATTTGCTCCGAATGCAAACAATGAGATCAATCTATTCGGATGATTCATTGCTAAGTTAAGACCAATAATTGCTCCATCACTCCATCCAACTAAATGTACTCGTTCAATGTTAAGATAATCCAGCAAAGCGATAACATCAGATGTCATCAGATCATATGTGATATCAGTTGATGTTGTAAAACTTCGACCTTGTCCTCGAGAATCCATCAATATACATCGATAAAATGATTTAAGTTCTTCAACTTGCAATCCCCAATAATTACTATTAGCGAAGCCACCATGAAGAAAAAGCAGAGAAGTAGCATTGTTTGAACCGTAGATTGTATACCATATCCCAATATCATTGATCTTAGCATATTGACCAATAAGTTGAAGAGGGAGTTTAGGAGTTGGTGGCAATTGTAGCCATCGAGATTTTGAATATAATATTGTTGAATTTTGAGCTGTAATATATGGTAAAAAGCACATGAGTGCGATAAATGCACTGAGCATTATATGCTTATTATTTTTGTTGTATGTTAGTAAATTTTGGCCTATGTATCAAGAATACAAAAATGAATATATAATAAATGACAATTTTTCTAAGTGAAGCAGAGAATGAAGGTAAATTTTTTTGAATATCAATGAAGATAGATGTATGTAATGAAATATTTTATTTTTTCTGGTTCGATTTTTATTTCATTACAAGGCTGAAATAAATATCTTACTTGTGATAAAATAACCTTGCGTAGCACAATGTCATAATATGTGGCTTATATGTGCTTTATAAGCTAACTTCTATGAAAGGTTCGAATTTTGCTTCGAAAGTATATTGAAATGAATAATTTTCTGAACAAAATGTTACACTCGGCATATTTATCAATGTCTACTATTGTAGATACATCAGTCAAAGCTCAACAATTAGTAATACATAACAAATTTACTTACAACGCGTATGTCAAACTTAAACTAGTGATTATAAACAACAAATGTGAAGAAAAAGATACAAAATATTGTATCGTATTCTGGAGATTTTCCCGCACATTGTGTTAAGAATTAATATCGACATTTTAATTAATAATTTGCAAATTTCAACAGGCTGTTCTAATGTTTCTAAAATGCGATAAATCGAGTTGGTTCAGTATGATTTGCTATTCAGATATCTTAAGATGCATCAGACCGGACTTTTTGAAATGATGGAATGGAACCAAAAATAACTTCTGTCGCTCCACTGATCATTCTATTATTGTCAAATAAATTGTATCAAGCAAAAATATTTCTGCTTTTTGAATTGTATTGACAACACTTTTAACGACTTTACAAAAAGTAAAACGGATT